CCCAGGCAAGATATTATAAAGTACCAAAATATGGCACAAAGGATGGGACAGAGGATTAGATTTAAGATATTTTGGCTACATATCCCAGGAAGAAATAGAATGTTTAGAATTGAAAACATTTTAGGAGGGAGCATAAAGTGAGATAATATGTGAATTTCATACCGAGATTAAAAATGTACAACTGAACTTTCGATCTTACCAAGGGAACATATTTTAAATAGCCTTGAATTTCGGTCTGCTAAGTTATGTTTAAATGTTAGTAGTGTTCAACCAAGAAGAGTCTTTTCCTTCCAAAAAGAGTGCTAATGTCCACTTTCACACCTCCTTAAATATCTACAGCATGAAACAACCTACGCAGACATATCTGGATTTCCTGCAGCTGTCAATGCCTTTTGTGTTGTAAGACAAAAGCAATCCAATAAAGACATGTCTGTTCCCAAAGTGCTCACCAAAGTCACGGCTCAGAGAGTGCACGTTACAGTTATGTCTTTTCTGGGTTTTATATTTTAAAGAATATGATAAAAAAAAAAAAAGAAAAACAAGCTTCCTGGTAAACTATATTTATAGCCTCGTAGACTGTAAACGTTTCAAAGTTTAAAGACACTTAGAGCAAATGTCTTCCTTTTTCAGCGTTAGCCTTTTTCTCCAGCACCAAAAGTGTGCAAGGCAAAAGCCTGCGAAAGAGAGGAAGTAGTGTAGGATAGTGTGGGAGGTGTTCTAAGTCTGGGGCTCATGATCCTCTAAAATACATGGGTTTTCAAGCCTACAGACAAGCTACAGAAGGCCTTCCAGCACCCTGAAAGTGTGGAAATAACCGTGGCAGATGCATGGATGGCCATTTTTTTGGGGGGGAAATACTTCATAGTTTTCATTAGAATCTACAGCCTTAAACCTTTGACTATATAATTGGACACATACAACAAATGGCTATCATGTAGATGAGTATATTATCAGAGCAAAAATAATGATTCAGATAAGTTCTTGCCACTTCAGAAGACACAATTAATTTATCTCAGTGGATATGAGAGTGATCTACTTAGTTACGGATATTTGTAAAGTTTGTTTAAATGGCTACACAACTTTGGACATGCTTACCTCTCCAAGTCTTCTTTTTCCCCCATTACTATCTCCTAGGTTTGCTGTGAGGTAATTTATGTAGACCAGTTTGCACAATGCTTGGAAAACGTCTTAATTATATATTTATGACAAATTTGGATATGACATTTGTTATACATCTGTATGCAGGGCAGTTATAAATATAAAACTTAAGCTTAGTGAATTGTTAAAAATTAGTCATATTTCCTATTTCATATTCCTCTTGGAAGCTGAAGAAACAAGATCAAGTAATAAGGATGTTTATATTTTCTAAGTACTATTTTTAAGAAGTTAAATGTTAGTTTCTGGTGTCATGAATGAAGAATTGGAGCAAATGACAAATTCCAGTATATGGCTTGCTTTGGAGTGCATATTGTGATAAAGTCGCTAACCTTTGGGCGGATGTACAGCCAAGAAGAGTTAGGCCCCATTTCCAATGAGCAAGCCCCATTCCTGATGGCAAGAGTTATAAGAACATGCAATAAAAAGATTGAACTCTGGTCAAAGGCCACAGCTGCTACCATTCACATGCTGCTTGCTGGGTATGGAGCCAGCCCTGGAGCTCTAACCTGATTCTTCAGCTTTGGCAACACAAGCATTTGGAATGTGGGACAAGGTGGGGCCCAGCGTCATCCAGTCATAGTCTCAGAAGTCTTGGTTACTCCCGTGACCTCCTTCACCAGCTCACCAGTCTGAGGAAGAAGCCCAGGCTGCCACAAGGCCTTGTCTTACAGGCAAATAATTAATTAAGATGGAAACGTATATGTCTACTGACCTCCAGTGATTAGGCCTCTGGTTCAAGAGCTGAGTTTTGAGGACTTACTTAAATTAGGAAGACTGTGACAGTTGTCCTTCCTTTCCCCCAATCTCCCTCATCCCTCCATTATTCCTCTGGGTAGAGTAGAGGTCACCTGTGGCACATTTAGTGGCCCTTGTATTTGATTTTTGGATACTTATATATGTCTGTCTTCTCAGACAAGCTTTTCCTCTGACAGAAAAGATTTTGAAGACATTTTAGTAAAACAGAACAAAACAACCCAGGCATGAGACAAACTGATTATTAGTTGGAGATTCGGTTGGAAGATATTAGCTAGCCCTGGAGCAAAAGCACACTTTTCTCCATGCTTTTCTACAACAGTATTCATAAAGTCACAAGTAGGTTCAGCTTACGGTTGGGCAGTGACTAAGAAGAGAGACTGGGCTGCAACAGAGCGCACAGGCATTGCTGCCAGCAAGACAGAGCTGGAGAGCGAGCTACCGATTCTTAGCGATCTAATGGTGGGCAATTGGCTTCACCTCTTGGAAATGTCCTCTTCTGGGAAATGGGGGTGATAATGCCTCAGCGGGTAATTTTAAGAATTGAAAGTAAAATATGCAAAGTGCCTGGCACCAGTGACTACCGAGTAAATTAAAAATATTTTATTTTATTAGTGTTCATTTCTCTTGCTCTGCCTTAAAAAAAACTGCACACCGAATACTTGATGCTTACTCATGCAATGCATTTTTGTAAATAATCTGTTGCACATAGCATTGGGTGCTTGGCAACAAAGAGGAGTAATGCAGATCTTTTCTATTCAAAGAAGTACTAGCCTAGCTGTGTTTGGGGTGCTTGTGTACATGTCCAAAGAGTGAAGCATAATAATTCCTTGTCTTTTTGAAAATTTTATCTAAACAAAATGAAATCAGTGAATTAATGTTTTTGGAGTGCATATGTGACATAGACGTTCATAGATGACTTTTACGTAGGATTAGAGGATACAGAATTCTAAGCGGCTGAATCCTGAAATACAACACTAGGGACTTATGGAAACTAATCACGTAAACATAGCTCCTTTATTGTTCCAATAATAGTTTAAAATTTGTCTTGTTGGATTTTATCTGAAGTCAGTCTGACTTGAATATAGTTCCAGGCCTTCCTCTTAATTTTTTTTTCTCCAAAACACCTGATGGCTGAGTCCATCAAGTTCCCACAATAGATTTACACATTTTAAAAACAGATTTTGCTTTGTATCTCTGTTTTGTCTTTTTTCCTCCCCAATATCCAGGAAACTTTGTAACACCTACTTTGCAAAATAAGCAAGTAATCATCTATTTTGGGGACTGAAAATAGAGGAGGTGAGAAATGAGATAACTGGTTTCAACTCATGTTATTTGGGCATAGAAACTATTTGTTCAGTGATTTTTGCCACAGCCATAGAACAACTTTTGCATTGCTTTGGTTTCTCCATATGCTTTGGAGAGACAGGAAAGAGAATATTGCACTAAAAATCTTGTTTCAATTTAAGGTAATTATGCATATATTTAGGTTGAGTAGGGAAGAGGCATTACTGAAATAAAAATGTTTTTAATACAACTTGCAAGACATAAATTAACACATTGAGAAGAAAATGAATCAATAATTTTATTTTAGAATTGAGGGGGATTTTAGAGATCATCTTGTTTAACCGCCATGATTACAGATGAATGAACTGTTATGTGTTTTGCCCATAGTAGGTCACACAAACGAAAGTGTCCTGACTTCTAGAATAGGCCTTTGTTCCTCTCTCACTATAAATACATGACTATCTTGCAGAGTGGCCTAGTAGGTATTGTCATGTTGCTGTTCCGGGTTGGGAGGACTGGGTGCATGTACAAATAAAGTTTACATAATACCTGATACAGAAATCTTGGTGCCCTAAAGTAACTATTTAATGATGATGCCTTTGCTCTATTCAGACCAGTGAAATGAGCACACATTTCTGGCTCCATTTAATAAATTACCTCCTTGAGGGCACTAAATCCTGCTCTTCTGGAAAAGCTCATTCACCTCACATGGGTAAACAGTTTGCTTCTCCATGAATTCTGCTGTTTGCTCACAACAGTAGAAAGCCTGTTTTGTGTTATTGCTGTTATCACAAATCTGGAGACATCACTGCAGATTGGAATGAGGTGGTGGGAGACCGGTGCTTAAGTGGGTATTTTTCAGCACAGCTTAATAGAAAGGGTTGACCAAACATGTTAGAATTACCATCAAATAAGTTTTCGGGGGAACTAGCCCCCAATATTTCAACGTAGGTTCTTTTCTATTTTCCCTAAGTGTCAGCTGGTCTGAGAAATAAAGAGAAAGAGTACAAAAGAGAGAAATTTTACAGCTGAGTCTCCGGGGGTGACATCACATGTCAGCAGGTTCCGTGATGCCCACCTGAGCTGCAAAACCAGCAAGTTTTTATTAGGGATTTCAAAAGGGGAGGGGAGTACGAATAGGGAGTGGGTCACAGAGATCACATGCTTCAAATGGGATATATGATTAGTAATGGAAAGCTTTTCAAATCTAGTTAATTTTACCTTTCAGAGTCACTGTGAATGGGTGAAAAGTATAATGGCTCATCTGTAGATCATAAGTTAACATTTCTGAATTTTAAAAAATTTGATGAGTTAGAAAAATTTGCATTGGTATCATCTACATTCACTTTCTACCTTTACTTCGTTACCGTCCTTCACACATTGAACTGTAATTCCCCCAGAGGCAATGTTTCAAGGTCAATTATGTGAAAGTAGTTTTAAAAGTAACCAGTCCAGACATGGATTTGTGAAAAATGAAAATGGAGTTGAAGCAGTCAGAATTTTGTAGTATTCTTCACTCTTTTCTTTATTTTTCAAATAAAACTTTCTAAATACTGTAGCTCAAGATAGACTAATGATTCCAGTTTTTAAATATATTTAAAGCTCAAGTTGTTGGATATTTTAAAATTTTGACTCCTCCCTTTCTTTCTTTCTCCTTCCTTCCTTTTTTCCTTCCTTCCTTCCTTCCTTCCTTCCTTCCTTCCTCCCTTCCTTCCTTCCTTCCTTCCTTCCTTCCTCCCTCCCTTCCTTCCTTCCCTCTCTCTTTCTTTCATTCATTCTTTCTCTCTTTCTTCACAATATAGGTTAAAAAGAAGAAGTAACAGATGATCATTTATACTCCTCTTGCTTCACTCTGAAGAATTCTTTCTTCTCCTCATCCATGCCTTAGCCAAAAGCTACAAATGAAAGAAAATTTCAACCCCATGTAAATTTTTTGGAACACCGTACCATATTGGTGGACCTGATACAGTTTCGAAGCATTAGGTCCTTGTTAAGAACAATTCATTAATATTTTTCTATTGGATCAGACTTACAGATAAGGTCTGCTTCTAATGATGTCATCCGTAAGTGTTTCATGGTTTCATGTGGGAAATAATGGGAAAATACATTGTGTTGTTGATTATATATATTCAGGGAGGTTTAGGTGAATTTAGTAGTGAATTATGAGTGAAGCTGCCATTAACTGTTTAAAAATATGTATGTATTCATGCAATTCTTTAATCCTTAAGGAGCATAACAGGACTGAATTATCCTTCTGTCCTAGTCTGTTTGGGCTGTTATAACAAAATACCATAGACTGAGTAGCTTATAAACAACAGGAGTCTGGGAAGTCCAAGATCGAGGCCAGCATATTCGGTGTTTGGTGAGGGCCTAGCCCACAGATGACACCTTCTACTTGTGTCCACACATGGTAGAAGAAACAAGCCAGCTGTCCTTTTTTTTTTTTTTTTTTTCAGTAAAGGCACTAATTTCATTCTAAAGACAGATCCCTTATTGCCTAATCACCTCCCAAAGGCCCCACCTCCTAATACCATCACTTTGGGATTAGGATTTCAACATAGGAATTTTGGAAGGACATACATATTCAGACTATATCGCACCTTCTTTTTAAATTTTTTATTATTTTAGAGACAGGGTCTCGTTTTGTCACCCAGGCTGTTGTGCAGTGGCACAAACATAGTTCACAGAAGTCTCAAACTCCTGGGCTCAATAAATCCTCCTGCCTCATTCTTCTGAGTAGATGGAGCTACAGGCACATGCCCCCATGCCTGGCTAATTTTTTAAAAAACATTTCTGCTGGGACAGGGTCTTGCTATGTTGCCCAGGCTGGTTTTGGATTCCTGATTTCAAGTGATCCTCCTGTCTTAACCTCCCAAAGCATTGGTATTACAGTTGTGAGCCACTGCATCCAGCCCATAGCACATCCTAATATTACTCTTCAGAATTGTAGAATGTTACTTATGTCTGGCCTTGTTCTTGCCTTTTCAGATAGAAAAATAACCCCAGTGCATTGCAGTCTCACTATTACATGAGTAAATTATTTGGCGTTTCCCTGGCCTCTCCCAGCTTCAGCATGGCCCCTAGTATAAGTGCATCCCAAAAGAGTCAGGTTGTCCTCCAGGCCCAGAGAAGCCAGGAATCTGTATAACGAGTGTATACTGTTTTGAATTTTATTCCCGTAACATTTATCATTTCCTTCCTCCCTTCCTCCTTCCTTCCTTCCCTTCCTTCCTTCCCTTCCTTCCTTCCCTTCCTTCCTTCCTTCTTTCCTTCCTTCCTTCCTTCCTTCCTTCCTTCCTTCCTCCCTCCCTCCCTCTCTCCTTTCTTCCTGTCTTGCTTCCTTTTTTTTGTATTTTTAATGGTAGTTGCAGTCCATTGGGATAGAGAAATCAGAAGAAAAGCATTACATAGAAATTAGGTATACAAACTAAAGCAACAGGAATTAAAAAACAAATAGGAATTCAATTACTACATATTTCTATTTCAAAACTGATAAAAGCTTTAGTTTTAAAAATGAAAAAAAGAGAGAGGCCAGAAAGTACATAATGGGTACAAAATAAGTGAAATTTAAATTCCTTTATTTGCATTACATTTCCTTTAAACTTTTGAAAATGACTTTTTACCCTCTCCTTAAGATATCTAGCCTTGTTTCTTCTGACCAGCTCTCTTGGAGTTTTCCTGAAATGACACTTTCCTTGGCAGCTATCCCCTGAGCCTTTTCATCCCAATTTTAAAATCTCCATGTCAAGTTCTGAGAACTTCTAGCTTCTAGTTTCTTTCTTCATCAATGAAAAATTTAATCAGACATTGTTATAGCTGTTTGGATGTTTATTTATCTAAAACTTTCTAAAGTTTCAGAGAAGAATTCCCTCTCCTCCCCTCCCGGTCCCACCCCTTCCCTCCCCTCCCCTCCCCTTCTTTCTTTTATTCTTAGCAAAGTGCCTAAATGTTTCCATCAAGAAACGATGTATGCACTGAATACTAATTGCAAATGCTGGATCCTTCACTTTCAGAATTGCTAGATAGTATATTAAAAATTGGTTCATAAAATGCTTGTGCATAATATAACTTTAGGAACAATTCTGTCCATTTCTATCACTTAGAGATGAAGAACTGCAACCTAGAGAAGATGGAAATGACTTGTCCATTTTGTGTTTGGCCTCTCCATGGGGGTTTTGCAGGGGAGCCCTGCCCTTGCAAACTGCCAGGTATATTCTGGACACGCCAGTCATGAATCTAGACTGGGAGGGAAGAATGATCACCAATTTTTGCCATCTTGAGGGGTAAGAGTGCCATGATTTGGAGTCTCATTGAGAGATTAATATGGGAAGCTGACTACCCAGAAGAAGTTCTAGGATCATATACACACAAACGTTTATATATATACACACACATATGTATAGACATGTAAAAATATATACCTGTTCTGATTTGTTAAAATCCTTTGATTTTACTGTTGAGATTAGAGATAGAAATATTAAAATGAAAGTAAACCAAATTAAAATTTCCAAATTCCCTGGTAAAAGTTGACTTGTAACATGATGAAAGGGGATATTCAGATAAGATTTTAGAATACCTTCTCTAGAACTAAAAAACAAAGCAAAACAAAATAAAACAGTACCTCTCAAAAACTCCTTTGAAGCAGGTGTTCTTGTCAAATACTAAAGCTATGACCAAGTATTTCAGTGTATGAGGATTCAGAAATATATATATATGAATATATATTTAAATGTTTCTTTATATGCTTTGTTTTTCTCATAGCTTAGTTGTGTGTGTGTGTGTGTGCGCGCGCGCGCACGCAAGTGTGTTTTTCTACCACTTTATTCGGTAAATATGTCCCACGGAAACAAAATCTGCCCACTTAGTTCACGAGTTTTTTGAAACAGTTGGTGTCTAAGTAACTTCATCCTTGGCAGAAATAGCTTCCTGTTTTAAAAGAAAATAACTTAAAAGGTCGTATAAGGAAGGCTCATAAGGCTTCTTGGAAACCAAACAGTTCTTACAAAACATTTTGATGTGTTTAGTACAGAGGAATTAGGAACATATGGGTTACATTTTCCTTAAAATGCACATGGTTTTTAAAAATTAAGGGATAATGTTCTTGGCAAAATAGGTTTTGCCAAACCCAAACTGTTTAAAGAATTGTTCAAGATGTTCAGTCAGGCCAAAAGGCCCCAGGCTTCCACAGTCCTAATAATAGAATCAATCAGGAAAACCAGAATGAAGTCACTGAACTCATTTTAAGAGTCTCTTGAAATAACCAACCAAAATAAATCTCAATGTCGTAACAATCACAAGCAATTAGAATATAATAACTTTTATGCTCACGTCGAATAAAACCCCAAGCTAGTAGTTAAAATCGTTCTAGGAATTCTGGAAAGTTGGCAGTGTATTTTGTTTGACTAAAACAATTGATTACATCTATAAAAATGGCGAAGAGACTAGAAGGGATTTCACAGATAAAGTGTCTACCAGGAATAATTCAAGAATTTCACCGTGGTTTCTCAACGAATGGAGGTTGATGTGCTTGTTTAAAACCCACACATTCTTTGGTAAAAAGATGTATATGGAGATGATAACCACAAACATTTCATTACCCTGGTACTAAGCACCACTTCTCTTATCTGGAAAAGAGTCTATTAAGTCACTTAGTGATGGATCCAGGGATGGTGAGATGAAATAGACAGTGACATCAGACCACAGGCTGTATATGTATATGGCATGAAACAATTGGGTAATTGTTTCGAAAAGGAATCCAATCTCTGTATGGTAGTATTTGCTTCCCAACGCTAATCTTTTTTTTTTTTTTTTTTTTTGGAGACAAAGTTTTGCTCTTGTTGCCCAGGCTGGAGTGCAATGGAACAATCTTGGCTCACCGCAACCTCCACCTCCCAGATTCAAGCGATTCTCCTGTCTCAGCCTCCCGAGTAGCTGGGATTACAGGCATGCGCCACCATGCCTGGCTAATTTTGTATTTTTGGTAGAGACAGGGTTTCTCCATGTTGGTCTGGCTGGTCTCAAACTCCTGACTTCAGGTTATCTACCCACCTCAGCCTCCTGAAGTGCTGGGATTACAGGCTTGAGCCACCGCACCTGGCCACACTATTCTATTTTGAAATGACATCACAGTCTCACACATAGTAGGGTTGGTAAAATTATCTGGATTGGATTTGATTTGTTCTTGTGAAAATATCTTCACATTCTTTTTCAAGATCTTCATTTTCTACTCATGACTTGCCTCTTGGCATTATGAGTAAGCCATTAGAGTTCCCTCTGTTGGTTGACTCCTTGGTGTTTTAACAAAAATTGATGCAGGGCGTTAAATACTTCTTAAAAAAATCTTTTGTTCTTTTCTGACTCAGACTTTATATAATCACCTCCAGCTAAAGACAGAAACACTATGTCTACCAGTTGAGCCAATTGAGCCAATAACAAAAGGGTTCTGGAATTCTTCCAGTTTCCTTTTCTCCCTTCCAGAGATTCCTGGCATTCTCTCCTGCTGAGCAGAATATGAATTACTAGACAATTTGGGAACAAGGTGGTTCTGATCAGCAGACATTTACATGGCTGTAGCATTTGTGGAGAGGCAAAGCACTCAAGGAAGTAGCAGCAGTGTTGCCCCTTCCTGTCCCACCAGCTCTCTAACAAACTATGTGTTTTGCAAGGGGATGGGAGTAATGCATTTTAAGGATTTGGGAGGTTGTCTGGGTTGTACGTTAGGTGTTCTCGTTGTGATAATTATTGGATGTATGCAGAGTTGGAGGTTGTTAGACTTACTTGCATCTAGATCTAAGCCCATAGAGGATTGTGTGTGTGATGCTTAAGTGTATGTGTAAGTGTGTATGTGTGTGTGTGTGTGTGTGTGTGTATGAAGTTGGCTTTATCAGAATTACTGGGTGTTGGTATGGAAGAAAGAGAGGCTCTCAAAGGGCACTAAAAAGGATACTGAAGCTAGGAATGAATGACTAAAAGTGATTCAAGATGAGTGATACAGTTTCACTGTCCAAAAATATCTAAAGGGAATTAGCCTTTACGTATCAAGGAAGAAATAGTTTAATTAGAACATTTCCAGAAGTCCCTCTCACAATCTTTTCACTCACGTTCCTACATAAACCCAGGCTGGTTGATTCCTTTTAGTTTGTACCTGTCTTCCTGATTTCCAACTTGGTCCATGTAGTTCCCACCACTTTCCCCTCTGCTTTCGCCTCTGCTCATGGCAGTCCTACTCTTCTTTCAAGGAACTGTTTGATCTCTATCTCCTATATGACAGTGGCTTTAAACATTTTGGTCATGACCAACAATAAGAAATGCATTTTATATCAAGTCCCAGTGAGTACAAAATGCATGCACACAGACATCTGAAACAAAAACTTCATTAAATTATACGTACATGCACTATATTTGATACTTCTATCCTAAAAAGCCTGGTCGTAACTTCCTAAAATAATTTCATGACCACCAATGGGTCTTTATCCACTGTTTGAAAAATACTTCTCTGTGAAGCTTTCCATGATGATTCCAGCATGCTGATCTTTCATTTGTCTAAACTCATAGAACTTTTGTTGTTCTGACAACTTGTTGGGTACATATCAATATATGGCATTAATATGTCTCCCTGTCCCCAATTAGGTTATCAGTCACTTGACAGAGGAGATTGTATGTTATATATTACTTTGTATTCTTCACAGTGTCTAATATAAAGGACACGAGTCCTTTCGAAGAAAAGCGTGCTGGGACTCTCTCTACAACTCAACAAAATGTCTTCTATCACATTTCCCATCTAAACTCTGAAATATAATCTAATTTTATTATTTCTGAATTTGGGATCAGAGCAGAATCTGATCCTCCTCAAATCCCCTGCTGTAATGGATGTTTCTTCCTAGAGTCCTTAGTATTTTTCTGAGGGCCTTTAAAAAAATTTAGAGCCAGAAATGAAAAGGTGAGGAGCATACAACATACACATGATGGCCTAAATTCTTCTTTTTTTCTTTTTTTTTTTTTTTGAGACAGAGTCTCACTCTGTCACTCATGCTGGAGTGCAGTGGCACAATCTTGGCTCACAACAACCTCTGCCTCCTGGGTTCAAGCAATTCTCCTGTCTCAGACTCCCAAGTAGCTGGGACTACAGGTGCTCGCCACCATGGCCAGCTAATTTTTGTATTTTTAGTAGAGATGGGGTTTCGCCATGTTGGCCAGGCTGGTCTCGAACTCCTGACCTTAGGTGATCCACTCTCCTAGGCCTTCCAAATTATTGGTGTTACAAGTGTGAACCATGACACCCAGCCAATAGCCTAAATTCTTGAGTAGGAGTGGAGATAAGGGTAGGTTAGGCTAGGAGACTATTATGAGAAAGAAAAAGATGAGTATTTCCAATATGTTTTTCCTCCATTACATTTAGAAAAGGTAAATAAGAAGTTTATTCAAGCTGTGTCTACCTATACAAACTGTGAAGCCAGAATAAATGGAACCTCCAAGGGTACTGAAAGAAACCGAAGGGATCATTAGCTTGAAAGAGAAGTTTGCCCCAGAAGGATCACCAGGACCCAAGTAGCAGAGAAGAGTGGTTGAAAGACTTGAAAGACAGGTTAAGTGTCGTCAATGAAGCTGTGGTTATTAGGAAAATCAGGGTTAAGTTGTGACCCTGAGCTCACTGGCCTCTTACAAAGAGATAAAGGTACTTCTTCTATAACCGGCATATTTATGAAGATTTTATTAAATACAAAAGAAGAAATCCTTGTGGTGAACAGTTTTACATATAAGAATACTGAGACTATGACTGAGACCTGTGTCTGGCAACTCATGACCACATTCTACCTAGTCCTGGTGAGGAAGGTTTGGTTATTCATTAAAAATAATAGCTGTGTTATTATTAATTGTTAATTAATCAGTAAAATCTAGCAAATGCTTGGGTCAATAGTTTATACATACATTATTTTTAGACCATAGATTAATTGGTCTCAGAATAATGTATGTATAAACTATTGACCCAAGCATTTGCTAGATTTTACTGATTAATTAAATTGGATAGATTTGTTCATTCATTGGAAAATGGTGTTTGAGCAAGATAGAATTTGGGTATCTGAAAGGAAACCAGGACAGGTGATACCTTAGAGCCCACATGAAGCCAATCTTCTTCTCGGCATTCTTTTGGCTTTTGTAGATGAATTTCTTCTTTCTCAAGCCTCATGGTAGGATTTTAGTATTGATACCTGGACCTACGTTTGACCGCTTGGTCATGATGTTGGAGGCTAAGCAGAGAATACCCTAGATCGATGCCAAAGTAGGAAATGCTCCTGATCGGGTGCTTTTTGGTATCCAATCCAAAGGTATGAACCAACTTAGAGTCCAGGTTAGGCACTTACCAGCTGCCTGATTTGAGCCTCTTTTTCTCATTCAGTAGAGAAGGGGTAATTCTCTTTGACCTATTTTATAGGGTTGCTGGGTTGAGATCATTTCTAAACTAGGAAGAGCTATATAAATATAAGATACTGTAGCACTTTAATATAATTAATTAGTACCCTTTCATAAGCAATGCTGGTGAGCTCAAGTTATTTGAAACAAGGTGAAAGTTTCCCTTTAAGATCATTTTTGCATTTTATGAGTTCTTATAGAATCAACCTTACTATGATCCTAAACTTATGTTCTCAGAAACATTCAAAGTATTATAGCATGTAGCAGACTACATAAGTCATATCTGTGACATTAATACTTGCTATGTGTACTATCTGGTGTGCTACTTTCCCTACTCGATCTTCTAAATAATATTAAATTACATTTTGATATGATGTCCCAGACCAATGTCTTTTTTTATTGTTGTTCATTTTTTGAGACAGGGTCTTGCTCTGTCACCCAGGCTGGAGTGCAGTGGCACAACCTTGGCTCACGGCAGCCTCCATCTTGAGCCATCCTCCCACCTCAGCCTCCTGAGTAGCTGCGACTACAGGTCCACACCGTCATACCCGGCTAATTTTTTTAGTTTTTAACATCTCATTTTGTTGCCCAGGCTAGTCTCATACTCCTGGGGTCAAGGGATCCTCCTGCCTTGGCCTCCCAAAGTGCTGGAATTACTGGTGTGAGCCACTGCATCTGGCCAGAACAGTGACTTTTAAATGTACTTCTCCAAAGGGTGATGAGGAGGGGGCAAGAAAAACAACAATGTCTTGAATGCTGAAAAATTTCAATGTCCAGATACTTGAGAAGATGTGGAAGAACTGTAGCACTATGCATTACTAGAATTAAAATAATTATTTACATTAGATATATTAAAATACCATTATAAACCAGCTTGCTAAAATTATGAACTTAGATATACATGACTTCTGTCCTTTTTTCAAACATAATTTTATTTTAAAACCCTAAAAATGTTATGACCAAAATACTCGTATTTCCTGACATCAGCATTCTAACAGCTCTCAAATCCTCCTAGTTGGGTGAAACAGTCAAGTCTTGGTGGCCTTGGTTGCCAGCTTGACAGATCCCATTTAACCAGGCCAATCTTTTCATGCTTCTGTTTGGGCCAGCCAATCTGCTAATAAGGAAGAAGAGGAATTGAAAATATTGTTCAGTTTCTGTTCATGTATATTTTTAAGTATTATCTGAGATTCTCAAGAACTCAAACACCATCCCAGGATGTGAGCCCTAAGTAGGTTATGAATGATGGCAGTGTTTAGATTGAGAAAACGTTAAGTTCAGAATTTGTAGTCCTGGTTGCTTAAATCTTCATTTGCTGCTTCTAGTTAAATGGATGAGATTAGCTCAAGGGACCAAGTTGAGGATTCCTGCCATTTTCTAGTTTAAGCC